TAGCGTTTGAGTAGCTCCCCATGAGTTATTATTACTTGAGAATGCTTGGGCTAATGCGGACCGCTGTTTGATCGTCTCCGCTCGTGTACTCGGGGCTTTGATGGTAGGAACTACAGGTGAGTCCAAAAGAAAAGGCTCTGAGGAAAGAGGTGATGATGCCATGTGTATCCCAACATCGTTTCTGCCGGTCTCGTGTTCCCCAGCGCCCTGCCTGTGAATAGAATTCTGCGATACGGCGGCGTATTGTCGATTTTGCATACGGGATAGTGGGAATGTTGAATCAGATGCATTTTGTCGTCGCCGTTGCCGTCTCCTGGACAATCTATGTGGAATGAAGTGCACAACAAGGCCCCAGATCGCAGGAAGAGCAAACACAGGAGTGTAAAGGATCAATGTCCAATACAATGTGAACTTGAAGATGTCGCTAGCATTCTCCAAGTATGTAACGGATGGGTAACGTTGCTCGCACTCCCGGTACCTCTCCACCAGAGGGTTGTATAATGAAGGAAATTTAGGGGTTGTAGGATGATTTTGGGGCGGACAATTCATGAAAAATGACGTTTCTCTCTATATATTTTTGAATAAAGAGAGCTATCGCATCGTCTTTGTAGAATATAGGAACGACGGTGTTGGTTCCGTCCAAGTTTGGGCAACGTTGCACTTAATCAGAGAACCACTAGACTTTCAACTGGCTCTAAGAGCATCGATTGAATTCTGAAATGACCGGAATTGTACACCTGGTATCTACTATTATACACTGTTTGAATGAATGACTGTGTGGGACAATGATGGAAATGCAAGGGAAATGACAACGAAAGTGAGCAAGAGGGACAAGAGGTAAAGGGACCCGAATGAAAAAGATGATCGTGAAAATCACGATGGTTGAGATCTTTGATAAGGGATACAGCAGAATCAAAATGGGAAAAAAGGTCGTAAATCGAAAGAACAGATCGGTCTTGCCGCGCGTAAAGGAAGAGAGGTTAACTCATCTTCGTAGTCGTAAGAATGATAAAAGAGGTCGGGTATAGGTGCGGCTACTTGAAGTTTGTTTGAAGGGACAGTTTGGAAATTTATTCCAAGTATTCGTCATCATCGTCGTGGTAAATTGACGGGCTTTTTGTTGCCTTGGGAGTGGAAACTATCAGTGGTTTAACGCTTGATGCAGAGATCTTGACACGCTGTGCCATGGCCATGACAAAGTTATGGGACAGGGACGATGGGTCGGATGACTTGAGAGATTCGTCGGATTCAATTACAACGGGCGGCGACGGAAGGGGCTTGGAGGTATCTACGTAGGCTCGGGTTGCTGTTGCTTTGGGTCGGCTAGTACCAACAAGAGTCCTCGCTGCAAGACCGAGAGCGCGGGTCTGAGGATTTGGGTGAATGACCCTCGTTGCTGGGAAAGGGTTTGGGGCGACATCGTCGGGAACATCCAGGGCTGCATTAGGAGAATACAATTGCAAAGAATGGCGGTGATAGGTGTCGATGGAACCACCACGCTGGTGTTGATACCGGTGAGGAGCACCCATTTGACCTGTAGCCAACGTATTCGCACGACGTATCGTTGAAGCAACAGGGATGGGACGGCTAATCTCGAGTTCGCGGATGGATGGTCTCTTGGCATGACTACCGCGGCGAGCACTAGGTTGCTTTGTCTCCAGTTTCTCAGCTCGGAGGTTTAAGCCGTATCGCTGGACGACATATGCCATATCATCGTCAGCGATTGCTTGTCGTTGAACACGCTCTTGCCAGAATGGATGAGCATTGACATAAGTGTTGTCAGGGGATGAAAGACCAGTGATATAAGTGGGCTCAGGGATTTTGACGTCTTGCATATCACCTTCACCTTCACCATCAAATTTGTGTTCCCAAGGAGGAATGATGGTTTGGATATTGCCTTCCTTGTCCATCACCGTTACGCGTGTAGGAGTGAGGGGGCGGACAGGGTCTTTAGGTGCAGATGAACGCAGCCACTGGACAGCATGCACCGAGAGCTTCCACACAGGCATGTCGGGGAATTTGCGACGGTGCATTAAAACGATCGCACCGAGACCCATTACGTAGATCATGACTGTAAGGTTGGTTGGTTTGATTTACTACAAGTCGTTCGAATAACTCACTGGCTATGGTCTCCAAAAACA